GAGAGAGTTCTATATTTTTCCATGCATTGTAATATGTATTGTCCTAAAACATGATTCTAGTTATAGCTTGGACTTAGTTGTGTTTCAGGCAGGCACCAGACATAGAAGTCACACGTAAACTGAGAATTTTACTTGAACTAGGAAAGTTACCGAACTACGGACCATCCAACAACGAAACCAACATCACACAAATAACTAAACACAACATAAAATCACGCCTTTTGTCCCTGGCGAGGTAGGCAGAGGTGCACATTACAGCACTTTTTTTTAAGGGGGGAAAATCATCGAATGACTGCTCCCGCCTGGGTGAGGCGGGAGGGAGTGTCAGACTCTTACTGACTAAAAACCACCCCGTTCCTTCTCCTGCACGTCGAGTCGGAGCCCCGGTTACCCGTTAGGTTCTCCGCGACACATTACAGCAATTAATGACACTGCACAGTGTAACACCCACTTTTCACTATTTATGTTATGGGTCCCATGTAATAGGGGGTGAGCCTAAAGCCATTATTAATAACAAAACAATATTATTAATTTTAAAAACCATTGAATTATAAATAATTTTGGGCGTTACCACGTACACAGAAGTAAAGGCACAAACCGACGTCATGTCAATTTATCTGCATGTTATCAATTTAACACAGAGATAAAATTATCATTCCGATAGGGAACGCGGCGCACCAACACCGAAACTTGAATGTTTACGGCTATTTTTAGTATGCGGTTACAAGGATTTGGTGTACTTCAAAATGGTTCCAGCATTGCATGTAGAGATTTGAACTGTCAAACACCAAGCGGTCACCGGTGACCGCAACCTATTGTTCTATAATTGTGTCTATAATGACGGTACTCGACGAGTTAAATTGTGAATTGAAACTAGTTCTTTACAACATGTAACGTAATTAACGCACACCCTCAAACACCCCATTTAGAATATTATGTTATAATCATAATACATACACTAAATTTTTAATTTAACATGTATATGCATCCTTACTGGTCTTGTCATAAGGTTTATTTTTCTTTATTTAGTATTGAATGATAGAATTTGTATGAATACAAAATATAACTGCGATTATAAAAGTCTTATTGCTTTGACTTACGATCTATTTCGATTTGTTTTAACAATACAGGGTTAATATGACAATAATTTCCGTAATTTACTTAAGTATACTAAAAATTATATAAATTGATTCAGTTATTTAAGTTACATGTTGTATATCTATGTACGATTTTGTGACTTTGCGTAAATGTAAATTTTGGTTGCCTCATTGGCCGATTAGTTGCAAGTGCGACTGCCACGGGCAAGGATGCCTCTGGTTCAACTCCAGGGTTAGGTAAAGCATTACTGGGTTTTTAAAACAAATCTCACTAGTTGCACAGAGTCTGGAAATGTGCCCGTTATGTGTGACTCATAACATAAATAGTGAAAAGTGGGTGTTACATTGTACAGTGGCATTAAGTGCCGTAATGTGCACCTCTGCATATCCCTTCGAGGATAAAAGGCGTGATGTTATGTATGTATGAAAACACTTTTACTTAGTTTTCTACACATGGCTAAGAGAAAATGTAGATTAGCTACAAACAAGGATAGAATTGCAATATCCATTATAATGAAGGAACCCCACCAATCATATCTAGTTCATTTTAATCAATAATGATAAGATTTTATCAAAATTTATTTTACTGCCGTCGCACCATTGTTATTTCTGTTATTAATTGGGTACCTAATTACTATCAGTGAATGTTATTGTGAAAATATGAATTATAATTATTGTCATTATAAGATTAAATTGTTTCACCTTCAATTATGTGTAACCAATTAACTTATCAAATGGGACTGGTCAGCTCCAGACTGTATTTATTACTGTCCTTTAGGGTTATTTCTTTTTCGATCTCTTTGACTGTATTTTAGAGTTAGGTGTTACATTGTTCTCGCACAATCCAAACAACAAAACTATGTAACTAGAAAATTGTATTGTGAACCTGATTGAAAAAGAGTAACCTATGGAGTTTCTTGCTCGTTCTTCTCCATAGGAATCTACACCTTGGAATGAGCAAATAGCTTCACTTTTAATTTTTTTTGTTGACGTTCAAAAGTCCCTTTCCGCTCTAATTGAAATAAATGATTTTGACTTTGACTTATGTGGCAGATAGTTCATACAAATTACGTTATTCTTTATGAATTCATCTGGTACATGATGGCTATGGCCAAACATTGTGGAAGGGCACTTAACCCGTCGTGTGCTGGAACGGTTTCTAGTATCATTCAGACACCATTGACAAACGGTGAAGGAAAACATCGTGAGGAAATCCGGGTTTATAAACTTTTATTATAAGTTTGTAATCGCCAACCCGCATTGAGCAAGCGTAGTGATTAATGCTCAAACCTTGTCCGTGTGAGAAGAGGCTTTGCTCAGCAGCGGGCATTTATAGGCTGTTGATGATGATGATGATATGCCGTAGATCCACGCGAGACACAATATATTTTTCTATTGTGTCTAATATACCGGCAGTCAAGTGATTAAGTCTAAATAACATTAGTAGGTAATGCCTACGTAGGTACGCCTACCTTCTTCTTTTACGGAAGAAAATTGATGCACTATTTTAAATGCGTTTTTAAAATAAATTGTAGTAAGTATCTAACGGTACAGTGATTAAGTGAGCAATATTAAACGTCCTGTAGTGGATTTGTAATCAATTTTTGGGTTAACACCACCCAAAATTAAGAAATATAAGTATTTTAGAGTGTTTAAAAAAATTAAATGAAATTTAATTTTATTGTATTGAATGATACATGGATATAATTGTTAATATAAAAAATATATAAGTCAAATTTTGTTCAGTACCTATGTCAGGTAAGTACATACATATCATAGGATAGGTAAGTAAAATTGCTCAATAATATTTAATCTCCATCTAATCTAGGCCTATAATTAGAAACTAATAGATTCAATAAAATATTAATATACTTCTAAAGCATTGTAGATATTGTAAAAATGATAATTTAATAGATTTTCAAGGAAATATAAGTTGAAACTTTATTATGAGGCGAGGTGAAGTTATGAGTATTTCTTGGCAAAACGACGGAAGAACTTTGAGGTGAACAAGCAGTTTCTAACTTACTTAGACGTGTACAGATTTTTCCTGATCCGAGGTGCACTTAAGAAAATAGTTCTATGTAAATCTATACATAATACACCTACAAAAATATTAAAAAGAAACGGAAAAGGGTATAAAGTCGAAAGTGTGCTTCTTTGTTTTTATTTCAAGACGATTTTTTTGTCTGTAGTAAGGAGGCTGGAGAGCAATAGAGGCTCCTTTTTTCTTCTAAGCACGCGGGCAAAGCCGCATGTAAAAATTAGAATCTTATATAGAAAAAAATTATTATTTTAATTGCAAGAACAATTTTATATAACTGTGTCAAAAAGAGATAATATTTGGTTGATTGTTTAATAAAAATCTTACAGTACAGTGGAAAGCTACTAAAATATACTTTACAGGATCTACACAAATTTTACTCTGATATGTGTACAGAATGGAACCTAGTGGAAAGTTTTCCACTAGGAACTGGAAAACTAGAATATTTACATTGTTTATTTGAATATGTACTTTATCTACCTGATTTTTTTTTGTATAAAAATCTATACATATGATATATGGTAAGGTTCTAAAAAGTAAACATGTTTTAACTCGGTTGCGGTCACCGGTGTCCGCAACCTATTGTTCTATAATTGTGTCTGCAAAACCGGTACTCGACGAGTTAATGTGTTAAATGTTATTTAATTTTTTTATAAGTTCCTTTACCTAACCAAATCATAGCTACAACAGTTAATATTTTATAGTGTATTATTTCATAATACTTTACAGCGTCGTGGACTATTTATCTTTAATTAAAATTATATATAATTGATACAAAAATAATTATACTGATTGATTATTCTGATTATTTTATAAATTAAATTGCGCTTATTATTGGATTCTTATTTAGGTGGCGTCATTTAGATTTATGCATTTATACTTTAACTTGAACAGTTAAGTATTATAAACCAAAGTGAAATAAATAAAAATAATACCAAATTTTGGTATTTTTTTTTTTACTTTTTCCTAAGGAAGTGTTTAAACAAAAACTAACTAAACTGCCATAGAGTTGTACCTATATTTTTTAGGTGGTAACTACTTAATTAAATAGGTAACTATTACCATTACCCTATCTATTTTTTACAGAAATACATAGGTAGATGAATTATGGGATTGTTTCAGTATCATTTATGGAGTATTGAAAATATTGTAGAGTTGAAAATAAGCTAAATTTAAAATGTTTATGAACAATTTTATCCAAGTATTTTAGTTCAGTGAAAAATATTGATTTAAGGAAGTCTTGTGGAAATTATATTTACAGTTCTCGCTATTTCCTCAAACTTATTTTTTTAAATACTTATAATGGAAACGTTATATTTGCACGTGACTACATTATAGCAGTACCTAGGCACTTCATTGTTGGGAGAATTTACGACAGCCTGTATACTGAAAAATAGTTGGTCCATGCTTTTAGATAAGTTTTCCCTGTGTACTAATACTTAATCATATTAATTCTGGGTATTATAGTCACAGTAATATAATAACTATAATACATCCAGCGTAAATATTGCCACCTCTGAAGTTAAACAACAGTAAGCATCAGCTTTACTGAGCAAGCAGCCAGTAACCTGTTTGTCATAGATATACTTTCTACTACACACATCATAATACCTAATTAAGAGGGATTACATGGTCACTTAAATATACGCGACTGACTTAGAACTATCTTAGTAATACGCGGCACTCAGCACCAGTCAGGAAGTACGCAACGTTATTTATTTATTTATTTACAAATATGGATACTCAGACCACGTTCGACAAGGATTTAGCAACCAAAGAGACAGTTCTAAAAGAAAACTTCCCAATCCACCTGTCATAAGCAAAGCTAAACAAGTGAAACATGTGACAGTGAACATACTCACATACAAATATCGGAGATGGTGCGGACAGGTGACGCTGGCGAGCTGGACGATTCCTCGGCACGCTGGTTTTCACAGTTTGTGTACACGCAATCCGATGATATCCGTCATAATCTGGTACAAGCCGCGGGATTACGCGACCACGCGCACGCCCGTCACCCACTAACGTATACACCAGAGAACAAACCAAATACGAATCCGATACCGATAAATCAAAGCGCACGATCGCGGCGACGTCGCTTATCCGCTAAATCCTGTCGGGATCGCGTAAAAAATACTAGTATTAAAAACAGTCTTAAGTGGGCTTACGTACGCGGCGCGTTGCGGCCCGCGCTGGCTCTAATCTCGGCCACTTCCCGGACCAATTTGAACCTAACTCCACCACTCTATACATCATCCGGAGCGCGCCCGCCCACCGCGCCGAGCCCGCGGCCGCGCGCGCTCATACCCTCGTCTCGCTCACTCGCACCGTTCCGTCTATACCTGTCTCCCTCGCCCTGAAATCTCGCCACACTGAAAATTCAGTGCGTGCAGCGTCGGCCTGCGGGGAGGGGGACGCAGTCAGCTGGCCGAACTTGTGCGAATAAAATCGACTTTTTATCGCCTCGATGACGCTTCGTGACGTCACTGTTTACTTCTGCCCGTGAAGTGTGGACACTGGATCTTTGACGGACTACTGTGACGCAGCCGTGCTCACATTTATGACTTTTGAAAAATATTCCGTTATACTGGGTTAGTGTGTACTATAGTATAGTTATTTGATTTTAATTATCTTAAGTTACTTAAGTGACACAAATAAAAAAAAAATCACCTTTTGTTCGAGTAGAAAGTAAATGAGACTACGTCATCTGCATTAATAAATAATGTTGAAAAAACTCATTTAAATTGTGTAATATGTTTTCCTTATAGCGTAAAATAATTGCAGTTTAAATCGCGTGGCGTGCACCGGAGTCGGGCGCAATAAATCGCTAGCTCGCTCCCGGTTCGCAACGTAAACAGATCGGGCGCATTAACCGCGCGTCGGCGTACATAAAGAGAGCGGTATAAATATAAAGTTCCCACTCGCCGCCGCGCAAACTTAGCTAAACAACGCCATAATTGCCTTCATTACTTAAATTACTGAAATTATTTATTCAAAAAGCTGGCAACATTTAGCCAGTGATGGCCCCTCCCTCAATACAGTACTGGGCCAATGGACAGTAGCGAGAGCGCGGGGGGCGGGGCTTCCGCCAATATGGCGGCAACCTTCTCGTAGCGCTCGCTCCTGTACGTTCGCCGCACGTCGCCGGTGCATGCTGTTTCAGTCTGTTTTCACGCGTCGACTTTCACGTGTTTTCGAGTGGTTAATTAGTTTGGCATTGTTAATGAGTGCGACTGTAGCAGGCAGCGGAGCGGAGTGGTCGCTACGCAGGCTCTACGCAGCCTCTACGCGGCGGCTACGAGCTACGCGCGCGCGTCTATCGGCGACCGAGCGGTGCCGTCGGCGGCAGCTGTATGGTCGCCGACGGCAACCGTCCGACGGACAGATGAATGTTCCTTCCTTGTTAACCATAGTTACATACTAGCCATTTATATAACTAAAATACAACATACAAACCGTGTTACCTACTAACAAATATTTGTATTTAATTTCTAGTGATTTAATTGCACATTTCAATAAAGTTAACCACTAAAATGCTTCATGCTTAATTACTAGGAAATGTAACACCATAAACAATCTTAAGAACTTAAAAACATAAAGAAAATTGTGATAAAACAAAAGAAAATGAAAGCTTCCGTGGCGTTGATTATTGTTATCATATATTGTACCTAAACATCAGACGTAGATAGATTACTCTTTTAATTAAGTCTTAATTTGTGTTGATAATGTACTATGACTAGGGTATGTCACTCGTTTTATTTTTTAGGGCATCCCTAATAACCAATAGGTATAATACACAATACTTAAGTCAATTACTCTTTGAGTACCGTCATTATAGACACAATTAAAGAACAATAGGTCGCTGTCACCGGTGTCCTCACGGTGTTTGACAGTTTAAACTGTCAAACACCAAGCGGTCACCGGTGACCGCAACCTATTGTTCTATAATTGTGTCTACAAAACCGGTACTCGACGAGTTAAATTTTAAACCTAGGTAACCGGACTAATGAAGCTGTGAAATACACATTTTAAGTAAGTTAGTGGGTATTGGATTACGGAGTCATAACAACTTCAACATCAAAATAATTTTCTGTACAGTTTACTGTACAGAAATTGAGATCTAAATGTACCTCTAGTTATCACAACATTATGCTTCGCACTTAACGTTATTTTATAAGTATAATGTCGGAATACTCAAACGCTACTCAATTTTAAGTCGCTAAGCTTAAGTATAGTTCTGTCTCTACAAATTCTTTGTAAAATGACAGAGATGGCACGATATTTAAGCACGACTTAAAATTGAGTAACGTTTCAGTATTCGTATAAGTAATTCAATGTTTAACTAAAATATTCGTAAAACAAAACAGATGAGTTGAGAACCTCCTCCTTTTTTTGAAGTCAGTTGAAATATGCAGAAAACAAATTAAAATCAAACTAGAACTACAAGTTAACATTAACACTTCAAAGGCATTATAACAAAGGAATAAAGACAAACGAAAGAAACAAATGAAATCAATAAAGAATTGACACACCAAAGAGGTCGAATAACTGAGAATTCATTAATCGAAAAACGCATAGACGTGCCTGCTAAAGTAACGAGGATGAAATTCTAAGAACTAGTTATTTAATAATTTTCGCATTCGTATCTAACACGCGTCACATCTAGCTCAATACTAAAATTCATCAAAACCAGGACAGTAATTTACCACAATAGGTACCATAAAAATAAAAATAGGTACTTTTCAATTTACGCTTCAGCTAGTTTTGCTCGCATACATTTCTGAGGATAGAACTTCATACTTCAACTCCATACTTCAAACTACACTACATGTAGAAACTATGCAAAAATTTCAAGACAAATGATTGCATACTTAGATAAAGCGCAAAGAGGTAATAAACAAAATTAAATATACATTCTCACTTATAATACTTACTGGCTACTTCCACGCGGTTACACACGCTCTGCTCAGCTCCTATTGGTCGTAGCGTGATGTTTTATAGCCTATAGCCATCCTCGATAAATGCGCTATCCAACACAAAAAGAATTATTCAAATCAGACTTGTAGTTTCGGAGATTAGCGCGTTCAAACAAACAAATAAAAAAAACAAACTCTTCCGATTTATATCAATACATAGTATAAAACAAAGTCGCTTTCGCTGTATGTCCGTATGTATGCTTAGATCTTTAATACTACGCAACGGATTTTGATGCGGTTTTTTTTAATAGATAGAGTGATTCTTAAGGAAGGTTTGTATGTATATACATATTGCACCCGTGCGAAGCCGGGGCGGGTCGCTAGTAATAGTATAAGATATAAGATTAGTTGGGATTCCATTTCAGAAATAAACTTAAAATTTCTTAGGTATGACAAAATTCAAAACGATAACATAAGGCAAATCGTAAATATTGCATTGGAAGTATTATTTTACTATGTACTCTTACTAGTCCCATCCACTTGAGACAATTGTGACGTAGGTACGTCAGTGCTCGTCAATGAGAGACTGTCTACAGAGACCATCTGTGGCTTACTAAAAATAGACACCTTTTCGTAACAAGGATAAAATAAGCGGTAAAAATGTAACAATAAAAAATGCTAATAAGTTCAGTACTTAAATAGCATTTTCGGTTGAGGTTTTGCGAATGGTAGAGTATGACGATCTGGGTTTTTGGATCAGAAGATAAACGATCGGACTTTCTTGTAGGTGTACGGTGAACCTCAAAAATAGATCAACAATAAAATAAAAGTACTACCGTAATCACAAAAGATTCTTGTATTATTACTGTTGATTATTTGTATTTTACTAGCAAGCTGACCTTTCGCATTTATTACGTTTATTGTTAACAGTAACATAATTTTTGCAATAACCGGTTGTAACATTGACCAATTAACGTTACAACCACAACGCTATTATCCGGATTTCATGATGATTATGTTGTAACAATTTGACAACAGTTAGTTATTTGGTTAATAAGTAGGTATACCTATATATTCTGCATAGGTAAAAAGTAGTCTTATTATTCTGCTAATATCACTACATAGTATAAACAAAGTCGCTATCCGCCGTCTGTCTGTCCCTATGTATGCTTAGATCTTTAAAACTACGCAACGGATTTTTAATAGATGGAGTGATTCTTAAGTAAATTTTGTATATATAATACATGCATATTGCACCCGTGCGAAGCCGGGGCGGGTCGCTAGTTAGGTATAAATGCGAAAGTTTGTAACGATGTACGTGTGTGTGTGTGTGTGTTCATTACTCTTTTACGTCAAAACGGCTGAAGGGATCGAGATGGCATTTAGAACAGAGGTAGATTATGGTCTGGAATAACATATAGTCTACTTTTTTAATAAGAAGCTAAATAGCAGTAATACTAAAAAATATGTAGGACTACATTATTTTTAGTATTTAATAGGTTGACGTTACACATTACTAACGGGTATTTTGAAATACAGCTAAAGTAGACAAATGTGGTTTTTATTCCTTTTTTTCATGTCGGGGGAAACCTTCAAAAGGCGCCTAGCTTTCTGGGGAAAAAGACTAGGGAATGTGGGATTTGTACCTCACTGGAACGACACTGAAGACCACCCTCAGCATCTGTAAGGAACACCGGATCCTCTGAAGAAACCTGCTACGGAGCCCCCACGGTGCAACGCCTGTTACAGTACATCCCTAGGGTGTTATTACTAGCGTTCCTATAAAAATCACTGATCTTTTTCGACTGAAATATCATAACTATAAAGTAGTCAATAAATGACCTAATGTCTGAATATTTACACTTTGATTACATTTGAAGAATAGATTCTTTCGAATTTGATACTGAAGTTGATAACAAAGTTAAATAATACCAAGTTATATGATTGTTACCCCAATAGTCTAACTAAAACATATCATCATCATCATCAATAGCCTATAAATGCCCACTGCTGAGCAAAGGCCTCTTCTCACACGGAGAAGGTTTGTGCATTAATCACCACGCTTGCTCAATGCGGGTTGGCGATTTCAAACTTAGGTATAATTAGAAATTATAAACCCAGGTTTTCTCACCATGTTTTCCTTCACCGTTTGTCAGTGGTGTCTAGATAATCTTAGAAAGTACATATAACTCGAAAAAAGTCACATTGGTACTTGCCGTTGGTAGGTTTCGAACTCACCGAAGCGAGTGTCTGAAACCTCCGGACCACCACGACATGTAAGCATATGCTTACATTTAAAGCATATGCTACATTTAAAAGATTTGCATCCATTCAACAGAAAACATCGACATTATGACCGGTTCTAATATATTGTTACCCCACCGACAAATATTATTGATAGAATTTACCCTCCCCTCTAAGCTAATAAATAATCACACCCATGGGACATTGAATTTACGTTTTAAACTTACAATTATTGCCGATGAAAATCCCAGGCAGATAATCTATTTATAATAGACTTTAGAAGACATTATATTGTTTAAACTGTCAAACACCGCGAGGACACCGGTGACCGCAACCTATTGTTCTTAATTGTGTCTATAATGACGGTACTCAACGAGTTAAATATTTTTTTATTTAGAATATTCGTTTTCCGGCTTCTGAGACTTTATT